ATAGCATCGAGCAAGTGAACTTGTGCGTTTTCGTGATCGGCCTCTATCTTATTGCCTGCTACAATAGTAAATTGCATAAAAATGTAAAACTAAGTATTTATCGAGGTAGATTATCACAAAACGAATGGAACTCTTTGTGTATATATTGCTTTAACGTTGGCTGTAGGCTGTTGTGTTTAGATTGATAAATTTTTTGGACCATCGTACAATAGCTCCGTTTCGTATTGCTGTAATAACAGAGCTGGCAGTGATGCCCAGCAGTCGGTATGACGCACTGCTTACCGGTGCTTCCCCAGGTTTTTTACTTGGCCTTATAGTTGTATACTTACAAGGAACACTCTCATAATTTATAAAAGTTGTATACTCTAAATTATTAACAATATAAGGATGTGATGGCCTCGCCTGTCGCATACGACTTATGTAGTCCATTGCTGAATATATCGGTGGATTGAATACATTTTCTAATGTAGAGTGGACTCTGTCTACCTCCATACTTTTTACCTTTGTTAATTGTTGAATTCCAATTGCAAGCGATCAAATTAAATAGTAGAATCTATGTAGTGGAAGTAGTATGTGCAGTGACTCAAACAAATGACCACGTGTTGATTTTCTTCAAATATTCATAATGTTTTTCAAGATAATTTTTTTTTATTTTTATATAAAAATAACGTCTAAGCTTTAACTAAAACCGTGTAAATCACAGTTTCAAACTTTGTTAAAATTTTTTGGAAAACTCAATAAATTTGCAGTTTTATAGCCTATACAATTTTAGTCCAATGAAGTGCAAAATTAAAACGGCTAAAAAAACACGTTGATGAAAATTTTTGAATTTTCCCAAAGTTTGTATGAAGTTTAAAACTGATTAACAAAACTGATGGTTTTGGTTAAAGCTTAAACGATATTTTTATATAAAAATAACGAAAAAAATTTATCGCGAAAAAAATTGCGAATATTTGAAGAAAGCAACACATGGCCATTTGTTTGAGTCACTGTATGTATGTATGTATTTACTTGGTTTATAATTATTTTTTACATCGAAGTCAAAGCACACTCATCAGATTCGCCTGCGATGAAAAACAGTTATAAACAAGTAAACGTATACCCGTTTTTTCAGAGTATTTCTAGTACTGCGGGCACATAGCTGTTTTTGGTCAGTTCTAAACTAAAAGATATATAAGAGAACGGAAAATGCAGTAATGCGGGCAATAGATAGTGTTAATAAAATATGCAATAAAAAAATTGACAAAAATCACATAACTGTTTTTGTTGGCGCAGCGACCATTTCTATTATCAAATTAGGTACAATTTGAACTTTAGATTTTCCATCACTGGTGACGTTGTCCGTTGCTTCTCTCTTTCTATCAACAGCAATTTTGTATATTGATACGGACGGCATGTACGGAAGGGTGCTTCGTCGGTGGCTGGTTAAGCCAATAGTCGCATTACGGGTGTTTATAGCGTAGATACAACCATAAGGCCATGTGCAACGCAAGAAAATTGAAAACCGCAGAACTGGATCTGGCTGCTGTAAATACTTTTTTGGCCTTATTCATAAAAAATAAAGTAGTTTTAAAGAGCTCTATTAAGTGACATTTTCATACAAATTTCCGATTTATAAAGGAGTTAAATCCTTTATTTTTTATGAATTTTTGTATTTATATATATTGCTCTTTAAAACTTTTAATATTTATTATTCATAAACGGGATTTTCGTATTTTAAAATGGGATAACCAGGTCGTTTTTCAGAGCAGAATGTGTTGCCAGCAAAATTTCTGTTAGAAATCTTCCAAACGTTGATAAAATCTTCGAAAATCCATAAAAGGTCTCTGAAACTGGAAAAAATCGTTTCTTTAGAAATATCTTTATTGAAGATATTATTACAAAAAAACTTAAATTTTTTAATTTAAATTTTATTAATTATACAAAACCAAAACACATTTAAAAACAAAAATAACCAGTTCATTAATTCATAACAGTTTTACTTGACTAGTTCTCGAACCATACAAGAATTTATATAACTACATATGTATGTATATTATTCAATCATTGGAATTAACAAATAAGTTGCAGAGAACTGTGAAAATATACAGGTACGACATATATAAGAATGTATACATTTTAATTTAAGTCTTGTTCTCATTTAAATCTATATCATGGCATGACCGTACCTATGTAAATAATCCTCTGTATAAAGTATACCACTTAAGGTAGTGATTTCCAGTTTATTACGAATTTTTATTTTGTTCAATCTTGTTTGAGAAAAAAACTCACTCTGTGCATTCATCCTCGCTATCGGATGATGATGATGATGATATCTCTATAAAGTTAATTATAGAAAATTTAATTTGTTAATTTAAATTTAGAAACCAAAATTACTTTCATTTTTGTTTTTACAAATATCGCTCCATAATTATCTTGTGGAAATTCACAGCGCGAGTTTGTCCTGCAAGGTAAATTGATAACAAAAACGAAAAATTTATTGCCAACTATCCTAAAAAAATCTTCATGTGCTGCCAGATATCATCACTGTGAAGATTTTTTGTATGGAGTTTTATTTTGTTGTAATTCTTTTCATGTGAAGATTTTTCTGATTATTTATGAAAAATATCTCCATTTTGAAGATAAATCTTCACTTCTGGCAACAGTGCATACTGCCTACAGCGCTGGTTATACTTATCTACATTCGAAGTGCGGAAGTGCGGGGCATAGAGAAACAGAGCATGTGAAGCAGTGGTGTAATTATAATCGGCAT